ATAATCAATAACATTTTTCATTTGTTTATAAATGATCAACAGTGAAAATGGTCATCAAATATGCTGCGCAGGATTTTTTCTTAATCTCGACACCGGTCATTGTGATGGTAAGATCAATTCAAATATATATAAACCATTTCAACTGCTTTTTTCAAACTTGTTATTTTGACAATGCACTTTTTAGAATGTCCAGTTGGATATTTTGGTCTTAACTGTTTGAGGAAATGTTCTTTTCCTACATATGGAAAAGAGTGTCAAATGGACTGCCAGTGTTCAGAAAATCTGTGCGACTTCTCACACGGATGTCAGCAACAATTAGGTAATATTTATTGAAATATTTTCCGAGAGTTATTTAAAATATAAATAAAATGTCGTTCTAATATTCAATTTGAAGATGTGTTTTTGTCTATTCATCAAAAGTTTTTAACTTTAAAATCAATAACCTACATATTGGATCATTATCATTATAATTAAAATTTATTGACACTAAACAATAAATTTAATTTCTGAATATTATAAAAATAATTTGTATTTCCAGAGTCAGAAAATTCAATCAAAAGCACAACGCAAATAAAGTATTCCGAAACTGAGGACGAGATACTGGTTACAGGTGGAACATTATATATTTCTAAATCGATACCGGAAACAACGCAAAATAATTCAAATATTGATAAAAATTCCGATGTTAATGCTGTTTTAATTGCCTTGTCTATGCTTTTCTGTATTGTATGCGTCTTCACTTGCATATTCAAAACAAGTTTATGTAGATGTAAACAAAACTTTGGAACTAATACACAAAGTACAAAATCTACAGAAATACATCTGGAGATGGCACAAATTAAAGAGGAAACACATAATGAAGTTGAAGGCGCAATTCACGACGAAGAAATGTATCTATGTCCGGTTTTTGAAAATATGTCTATGTATGAGGACATTGATGCTCTAAATTCTCCCGATAGGATCAGTAAAGATGTAGTCACCAACAAAATAGCACCTATTTTAGATGAAAAGGATGGCCTTTCATTTTTTAATGAAGAAAACATATATTTAACGCCTTCCTAACCATAACTTATTTGTACATGTAAGGAATTTCTATGGCAAGCCATTTGCTATTAATTTTGAAAAAAAAAATATCTTATAATTACAGAGACATATCTGATTATAGAGAGAGATCTTTTGAAAAAAGAGATTTCTCCCAATTTAAAGATTTCTCTCCTTTTTTAAGAGATATCTCTTTGAGAAAGGGATATCTCTTAAACTTAGAAAGATCAAAGAGATATGGTCTCTTTATCCTTGAGAGATATCTCTTTCCTGAAAAGAGATATCTCTAAACGTTTAAAAGATGTGTTTTTCATCCAGAGACCTTTTAAATCTTCTTAGCCATTAATATGCCCAGTATATATCAACCATAGAACAGTTTAAGATCCAGGAAGCATTACTACTGTACTTCCAAACACTATATATATTTTCAATGATTTTGTTAAATACGAATGTAATGAAAACGTTAATACAGATCGCTGTGATATATGTTCGGGCTTAAAACTTCACAAAAAAAAAAAAAAAACTCAATGAACCCGTTGAAGCACATTTCAAACTCAAGGGTCACAATTGGGAGGACATGATAGTTGTGATCATTGACTATTCTCAAAACTGGACCGACGACAAGAGAAAAAAGCAGAAGAAAATTGTGGTTTGACAGGCTTGTCATTTCGCCGTAGTGTTATTAACAACGTGGATGCCTTCACTACGATACACATGAGTTAGGACAAAATGTCCGTTGTAAACAAGACTTTTTGTCTCCATATAGTTATTACAACTTAAAAATTCATAAAAGTTTGAGCTTATTTACCAATGTATTATTTGTTTAAAATTGAAATACATATGTACATATTTCAAAATTCAAAATGACTTTATAAATGTTCCATTTTCTTCTTATCCAATTCTATACTCGTACAATTTCCTCCATTATTCTCTGCTTCGATTCAGTTCCTATGTCATTATGAAATACAACTATATGAGAGAAAATATAAAACATATGATTTAATATCAGAAAGTAATTATTTCCGTCGTGTATGTAAATCATACATTGTCGTAATACTAGTCTTGTCGGACGTGCTTCCGGGTGTCCATAGTATTAAATATATATCTCAAAATTTGATAAGGGTTTTAAATGATGTCATATTCTTATTCTATCCCTTTTGTAAGTTTCCGTTATTATTCTCTCTTCATACATATGGAAAAAATCATGTTGTTAAAATTAAGGAAAGGTTTTTACCTCACCTGAGCCGAAGGCTCAAGTAAGCTTTTCTGATCACATTTTGTCCGGCGTCCGTCTGTCTGTCTGTAAACTTTTCACATTTTCGACTTCTTTTCAAGAACTGCTGGGCCAATTTCAACCAAACTTGCCATAAAGCATTCTTGGGTAAAGGGAATTCAAGTTTGTTCAAATGAAGGGCCACGCCTTCATTCAAGGGGAAATAATTGAGAATTAGTGAAAATTTGGTGGTATGTTTTAAAAATCTTCTTTTCAAGAACCACTGTGCCAGAAAAGATGAAACTTATTGGGAAACATCTCAGGTAGTGTAGATTCAAATTTGTTCCAATCATATCCCTGGGGGTGGGGCGGGGCCACAATGGCTGACCAAAGTTTTATTTAGAAATATATTAGAAAATTCTTTAAAAATCTTCTTCTTAAGAACAGCAAAGCCATTATTGCTGATATCTATATGGAAATATCCCCAGGTAGTGTAGATTCAAGTTTCTTTAAATAATGTCCGCCGGGGGTGGGTTGGGCCACTATGGTCGACCAAAATTTTATATTGAAATATATAGGAAAATTCTTTAAAATTCTTCTTCTTAAGAACAGCAAATCAATAATTGCTAATATCTTTATGGAAGCATCCCTACATGTAGCTAATGTAGATTCAAGTTTGTTTAAACTATGTACCCCCGAGATAGGGTGAGGCCACAATGGCCGACCAAAGTTTTATATAGAAATATATAGGAAAATTCTTAAAAATCTTCTTCTTCAGAACAGAAAAGCCATAATTCATCCTATTTATATGAAAGCATCACCAGGTAGTGTAGATTCAAGTTTGCTCCAATCATGACCCCTGGGGGCAGGGTGGGGCCACAATGGCCGACCAAAGTTTTATAAAGAAATATATAGGAAAATTCTTTTAACATCTTCTTTTCAAGAATACCAAAGCCATAATTCATCATATTTATATGGAAGCATCCCCAGGTAGTGTAGATTCAAGTTTGTTCAAATCATGTGCCCTGGGGGTAGGGCTGGGCCAAACTTTTGGTTTTACACTTTTCTTTAGTATTGTAAACTAATTTCTTTTTTTTCCTAGCCACAATGCTCGGATGAGCGATGTGGCCCCTGGGCCTCTTGTTCAAAGTTGTCAGAACTTGTAACCAATCCATTTGTATAATTATACAATAAATTATGTTCAAAACAAACTAAACAAAATTAAAGTGGTTATTCTTTCTTTTTATTCTAATAAACAATCCCTTCCAAATCATAACAGGCAATACATTAAATTGATAATTTGTTCTGAACAAGGTAACTATGACAAATTAACTGCTAAAAAGATCCTCTCTGCAATTGATATATCTAATTCACGCATTTAATGTAGAAGCAGTACTCTGTTGCTGATATTTATGTATATGTACTTTTAAAATCATCAGAGATATGGGAATGGCATAAAACAGATGATGTTAAAATATCCATCTTAATTATTGCAATGATTTTAAGGGTAGGTCAGAAAGCAGTTGATAATTTCATGTATAGCATTGGGTATATATCCACTCGCACTAACAATGAACTTAAAAGTTTTTAAATCCTGGCTAAAGTTACAGTACTGTAAGAAGGCATAAAAATAGCATACTTAGTGCCTATTATAAAGCTTTTGTTTTAAGTAATGACAACAGGATTATGTTAATTAAAAAGAGTTGGGAAGTTGGGCTTGAAAGCCGTAAGTCATGGTAGGCGTTGGCACGATAAAGAACTCTCACTGCCCAGTGCCACGGTAGGCGTTGATACGATAAAGAACCTTCGCTGCTCAATGGCACTGAGTGCCGATTATAAGATTGAAATTTGAAGCCCTTGACGGTGACATTTCTATATCATCTAAAATAAATTCCGAATGCGAAATAAAACTATATACAATCAATCAATTATAATCAAACCACCAATTAAAAAATAAATCTCTTGATATAATAACAATTATAACATCTAAATCTCAAAGAATTTGCTCATTCAGTTCTTTCAATAATATTGAGGATAAATTCCTTTTTATTTTAAAATTAAATTTTATGAAAGTGTGAGAAGCATGTGTATTAAGAAGTAATATATGAAACTAAATGTATTTAAACTACAGCTAACGTTTAGAAAAAAGGTAAAAGAGGTACTCTCAGTATCTAGTTTGGTACAGCTCTATGAAAATAGTTTTTGTAATAATTACTTGATATTCATATCTTTGTTTTGTATTTTTATATGTGATGTGATTGGAATATAATTTTTTTTTATATATTATGAAAGTGGGATTGCTTTTTTGTATTCTTTTTTTGTGTAAAATCCTATTAGCCTTTGGCTTAAAGAATAAAAAAAGTGGATTCAAAACTGCAGATGTATTTTTGTATAAAATCTTATGAGCCTTTAGTTTAAAGACCAGAGAAACTGAAACTGAACAAGGATGAAAGCAAATTATATAAATCGGGTCCAATCTGAAAAAAGCAAAGTGATTTAAATTACATTAATACATATATCATTAACTTTTATTCATAAACCTTTGGAATATTTTTTAATATGATAAAAACTTATTTCCGCTAACTAAAATTACTTATTACATAATATCGCTTTCTACATTTACCATCAAAGTCTCCCTTCTGACGCAGAAACCGTAGTTGGGCCTACAGCCGGGTGTTCAAATCCAATCAAGTGACGGGAAAAACCGGTTTTCCGAAGTCCCTTGTCGCAATTGTTTCTTTACACAAAAGTTTTTCCAAAAGGAGTAAACCTTGAAAAAGCAATGTAAATAGATTTCTTTCTGTTAATATTCTCCATTAAGTGAAATTCCTTAGACACATTTTTATATCTTAATTGCATTATTGTTGTCATTTGTTGTCACTTTTTTCCTGATATAATTACAGATGTTTGAACTTCTGATGGATTTTCTATCACCCAGCTGTTCCCTATATAGTAACTTCTATATATTCAGCCTGTCCATTTCAATTTCCATGGTCCTACATATTCTGTGTACACACAAAAAAACAACACATTTTTACAAAATATTTCAGTGTACAATCAATTCTTTTAAAAATACAATTTCAATTACAATTTTTGTTTGTCAAAATTTTAAATCAAGGAATTTTATTTTTAATACCCATAAGATTGAGTAGCCGACATAAACATGTTTTATTAAAGATAACGAAACTCATCTTGTCTAATTCTATCTATTAGTAAAACAAATCTTACGTCACATTTCTTCTTATATGTAGTTTGTATGAAATGTATTGAGATAAAAAACGGTAACCAAGCTCAAAAGTCTAGTAATTAATCAATGCAAAAGAGGAGTGGACCAATCACGACCTCCATAAAAGAGAGGTGGGATGAGATGTCATGGAAGATCGTGCATTCCCTGCGGACCGGTCATACCCGCCCTGCGGCCTTTGTCATGATCGGGGAATAACTGGAAAATCCGTCGACAATTCAGTGTATACATGTATATAATGGCCTAACAATGTGTATGTTAAACGTCAGCCCCAAGATTTATATCATGCAAGTAGGACATACAGTTAATTGGAATTAGTCCAGCTAAAGAAAACCTTTCACTTTTTTGATCAAGGAAATATCTGTCAATTTCTACATCTGAAGCAAATCTGGAATTGGCCAAACGTAGATGTACCATCCATATGCAAGTTTAATCACAATAGGCCGTACAACTATAGAACTTTTCCATATTTATTACACCGTTGACTCGTCTGTGAGACGTAGGTCACTTTCAAAGCAAGTCCGGAAGTTTCAATCCCTACATGTAACTAGAACATCAATATGCTACCGTCATAGAATCTCAGTCAATAGAACGGTCGTCCCGTGATCAGAGTGTCGCAAATTCAGATCTGAAAATTAAGAGCATGCTCTTCGTACAAACAATTCCTAAAACGAGAAAAATGATTGGAAAGCAGGTTGATGAATCAAGAATATCAGCAGTCTCGTTTAAAGTCATCATTTCGTAAGTTCTGTGGTAGGTACAATGACCTTGTCAGGTAGTATAATTTATCATTGAGTCAAATACTAAATGACTTTTTCATACCAACTGTTAGTCCACCATTTATACACTAAATTGACGACGGATTTTTCCATTATTTCCTGATCATGACAAGGAGCACACGGTGGGTGTGAACGGTCAGCAGGGGATGCTCACTCCTCCATGGCACCTGATCCCACCTCTGATGTTTCGGAGGTATGTGCTTGTTCTGCTCCTATTTTGTATTGTTTTATTGACTTTGATATTGAATACTGTTGGTAATCTCTCCCCTTAAGACAGCTTATCCGTAGAATGCCCTATTCGAATTAGAATATACCAAATTCATTTGCAAATTTCGATTTTAAATCTGCATATCGTATTTTTTTCTTTCTTATACATATCCTTTATACATAAATTAAACATTGATTCTATGGCAGATTTATTAAAAAAGTAGAGAGAACTTGTCTTCATCGGCATTTGTTTTGTGCATAAAGGCTCGTAAAAATAATTTGATATATAGTAATCCAATGACAGCTTGATACAGGCCTGTAGCAACGGTTTTCCAGTTGGATGATAGGGGGGAGGTCTGAAAAAAAATCCGCATGCTACTAAGGACCCATATGCTATATAGTATATAAGTGTATAGTAAATAGGTCCCTGATACTACAGCTAGAGCTGTGCTACACGTGTACCATCAGCTTTTTTTCCAATTATAGATTTCTTCCGTATAAATTCAGAACAGATATGAAACCCCAGCCACTATGGGTTACATATATCAATATAGCCCAATGTTTTTAAAATAACAAAACCATATCGGAAATAAGATTTTTAAACAATTTTGCCATGAAAGTAATATCAGTCAGAAAAGGCAGATCATAATAGAAAATGTAAACAAACCTACGTGAATATTTACTAAACCTAGAAAATGTTTCGAATTGAATTTCGGTTAAAACACATGCATATGGTCCACGTATTGTAGTCCTTTTTTAAAGGACAACTTGTTTCAAAATGGGAAAAATAATAACTATAGACATAAACGAGACAATTTTATAGCACATATTGTTATACGAGGGTTGTCCCATAAAATCGAGAAGTTGTCTAGTGTGAAAAATAAACATCACTGCGTTCTGAAGTTTTCACTATTATTTAGTACAAATTGTAGTAATATACACAGCATATTCAAGCAAAATATAGGCATAAATAAACAAATTATGAAATTTTATGCCATGTATTGTATCACCTTACAGAGCATGGTTTAAAGCGTTAAAGTGTCTAAAAGAGCGTCACGTTTTGTCTTTGCTCAAAATGAAGTTGGATGAGTCCAACTCAAAGTTTCATTGATACACATTCTTTAGTCTCCATCAACAGCTGAAGAACCAAATGGCACCCTCAGGCGATCTTCGGAAGATTTATTAGTAAGTCACCGACAACATTCTCATCAACATTCAACTACTGAAGCTTCTGTGACAGCGTCTTTTGTTATTACATTAGGAGTTTGTCCGCATGTTTTGTACGGCCATGGGACTCAATCAAAAAAAAAAAATTCGCTAAGAAAACTCCTATTTCATTTGCTTTGTATGCTTAAAATATGTTGATATGTTTTGTAATATTTTTTCTTCTATTGTCGTTTCAAGTCTATAAAGGTGTCATTACAAAATCGAAACAAAACTGAACTGTTCACCGGTGCGCTGTAACGTCATAAAACGTCGTCTTTTTTATGTGTTGTGTTTACTACTTTCCCATTTCGAATGATCAAAAAACTGCCAAAAAATAGGCAAATGCCCTTACATTTTTACAATGAATACAAAATTGATTGTGAAATTGAATATTAGGACAATTTTCATCCAAATCTAATGTACTTAAAACTTTTATTTTGAATTCAAACATGTATATTCTTTAATAAAACCTCGTTTTTTTACCATGCGCCGTAGGACCACACCTTGTACACATTCAAGCATAATAAAATTTTTATTTTTACCTACATTTTATAAAAAAAATATCATGCACTTAAATAAGATAAATAAACATTTACTGAAATTTTCAGCTAAGTGCACCTATTACTTTTTGAGATAAACGCTTTGTACACGATTTTACGGGACAACCCTCGTATATATTAAGAAACATTAATTTAGGCAGCATAAAGAAATTGTTTGAAAAAGAATAGAAAAATACAACTCAAATAAATTATTGCTGAAATAGCTAGTGGCCACTGAGTGCAAAATAGTAACTTTAGTTTACTTTAGTAAAGCTAAACATTAACTGAGAAAACCATATGCATACCTGCCAATTTTCAGAAATAAACTAATGATAAAAAAATTAAATCTGATGAAACAAATCTTTTATGAATTTTTAAAATTGAAAAAAAAATGTTTTTTTGGAATATATTTGATCTATCGTATGATCGACGAAGCTTAATGTTTTCTATACTTCATCGCAGAAAAAAACCGAATAAACAACATTTCAGCAAGATAGACATTCACAAGAATGGAAATTTCTATAGAAAGAATGCACTTATGTTTAGTGTTTTCTTTCTCGTTTTTGAAATATAAATGAGAAGTGTTTTTGTGGATATTCGACAAAGTTTGATTGCTCTTACGTTTGAAACCAGATGGATATGTTAATGAGCTACATTTGTATAAAATAAATAAAATTTCCTTTCAAAAAAAAGAGAAACTTTTCTGTCAATTTTCTCACCTTTTTTCCTTTGTTCTCTTTAGTATTACTCCAATAACCACAGGAAAAAGCAGAATTATCAGAATTACAAGAGAAAGTATGGTAATTAAAAGTTTTCTAGATTCCCTGAAAAAAAAAGAAATTTGAATTATTGCTTCAATATCAGCTTGATTTATTTCATAATTACTCATTTAATTACATTTGAATATACTGATGATTGAGGACAGATGATACAAACAAATTTTACCTTTTGAGGAGACCTAATATCATGTCACAAGTTTAGAAAAGTGGATAATTCTTAGAATATTCTCCCATAAGAACTGGAAAATGAAATATACTTGTAAACGATTACTTATATTTCTATAAAATAATATAAAACCCAATATTGGTAAATCCTACACACTAAAGGTTTACATGTGAGAACAAATTTCATGATATGCTTGGTGATAAAAATGTAATATAAACTTTAGAAATAAATGCCTAGCCAGGTTAATTTTATAAGGAAAAGGAAAATAGGATACATCACCTTATATAATATGGGCTGATTTTTACCATTTTGCATTTCCCGGCTTGGTATATTTTTCTAAGGTTTAAATAACACTTTAAGCATCAAGTTAACATATTCTGAAATTTACTCTTATCTGTAAACCTTTACCGAATGTGTTTTATCCATTTCTATAATTTTTTTGAAATATTAGTAATATTTTCCAAGTCTATTTCATTTTCCAGTTCTTATAAAGGAGTAAAAATGTCAAGAATTATATACTTTTCAAAACTTGTGACATGATATTAAGTCTCCTCCAAAGATAAAATTTTTACGTTTCATCTGTCCTTAATTAAGCTGTTGATAAAAACTGCATTTTAAATATTAAAATATTAGTTTATTAAAATCTTAGAAATGCTGAAAAATACTTATTTTCCACAAAAATGCCTTGATTTAAATTGATAGTGATCCTTGAAAACTTTTTATCCACCCAAGCATAAGACAAGTTTATTCCTTAAAAACTAAAAATTAACGAATGCATGCGCAGCATTTTTTACTCCTTTATTTGTAATCAAAGATTCGAGGGTATAACGTTTGGCCCCGTTTGTCTGTCTGTCTATCTATTACAAAACCCTAAGGTCAAATGATATAAATAAACTGTTGTCAAAACTTTTGAAAAATAACAATATTGGTCATGTTTTAATAAATAAAATGAATAAGTTTCACCGCGCGTTTTCACTTTTTTATTCAAAGTTGCACAAAAAGGGAATTTAAAGTGAAAAATATTTATATACAATAATAAAGATGGTTTCAGGTAGAGTTTTAAACATTATAGAAGTTTTTCTTTGTATTCTGGATATTTATTATTTGCATTATCAGAAAATTAAAAGGGCATGGACACAGTTTCAACAAAAAAAATTTTGATGCATAAATTTTCTAACTAAGGCATCATCAAATGAACAGCAACAATTTGAAAATCATTTATTGATTAATAAATGAGATACAAAACTTAAAAATTCTCCAAAATGTTAACAAGGCGTGTGCCTTGTTTTTGTTTACATGCAGAAAATATCATATTTATTTAAGGAATGTTTTTCAGTTTTGTGTGAGTTATTGGTGTGTGAATCACACACACTTGTCACGTAGGCATATTTCATGAAGCGCGCTAGCGCTTCATGAAAAATATGCCTACGTGCAAGTCTGTGTGATTCACACACCGATAATTCACACTTAACTGAAAAGCATATCTTATATTTACATTTTGCATGTTTGGAAGCAACTAAAATATGCTAAATATTTGAATTTCTCGCTGCCCTATATCGTTGCACTTTCACTAACGTCGCTGCAGCCTCATGCACGTTTCTCCGTTTAAATTTCTACGCGTGAGTATACATGAAAATTATTTTCAAATCAATTTCACAGTAGGCTTACTAGAAAAACAAAACAAATGTAAATATAACAAAATAAAATTCAACAAGAAACTGTTCAATAGTATTTAGAATTAACTTCTTTATTGAAGTTATCTACATTGAACGAACATATATAAGTATATTAATTTATGTAAACAAAATATGACACGGACCCTGTTAACATAACAAAAGTTTGGAGCTCTTAATCTGTCTTGTATCTCAACAACTGAAGTTCAAACTTTTGTTAAGCATTATAAACACCTTTGTAAAATATTTATAACGATTGAAAAATAGATTGGAAATTTTTTTAGCTGAAATTGTGTCTATGCCCCTTTACAATAGGTCAAAAATATATACCAATGCAAGCATCCATTGTCTTTGTTTGTTCAATCTGTCCTTAACATACCTATAATTTAGCTATGGGGCTTCTATAGTACTAAAATTACAACTTGTATGACGGGCGTCGACTGTCGTGTATAAACGAGGTTAGACATCTCCTGCTCCTAACATATCGCTTGGCAAAAGTTACATGCCAGAAGAATCATCAAGAAAAATCAAATCAACTAATTTTCAAAGGCTTGTCACAGAGAAATCAAGTAAAAATGGAAATACTTCATTATGTCTTAGAGTGCATACTCACTGTGTGTCTTCTTGTAGTTCTTGTGTATCTTCTTTTAGTTCTGGTGTATTGGGAAACGTACTGGATGCCGTTGAGATTTTGTCAAACGTTAAGTTATAGCATTCTCCATCTAAAATTTGAAAAAAAAAATTAAATCAATATAAGGCATTTGGATTTAATAAACAAAAGTTTTTAAAATCACCAAAGAGGATTTATATTTTTTTACACGTTGAAATTTTGATAGTTTCTAATATTAAACAAATAAGTCTTGCATCAATATCACCCCCTACGTACATGTATGTTATTGTGATTTAATTAAATACATGTAGTGAAGGTTGGTCCATTCAAAGGTAATAGGGTAGGACCAGTTTTATTTTAAATAAAGACAGTAAATATAAAAATGCAACAATCTTGATTCTTTTAAAAACATGCCTCATGAAAAATGTGTTTCAAGACTTTCTGATTTAAACAGAAAAGGATGGGTAGGGGGATCTCTGTCCACTTTTTTTGCTTTTGTGATATTAGTAATTCTGTTAAAATTTCAAAAAACCCCCTCCAGATACACTACGTATGCACTAGTAGAATAATTGTGTAAGATCATTTACACGGACAAACTTTTGTTTACCTTTATTATTATTTATTAAATGAATGGCAACATATCCCAACTATATACTTGTTTACATATTACTTTGGACATGTGGTTCAGATAAATCTATGATTTGTATTAAATGAACTGCAAAAATGGTCTCATAATATAAACCAAAGATAAGAAACGACATTTGTAGTCAGTACCAACAAAGTGGTCAGGCATATCCCGTTTTCTGTCCTCAAAAGAGCACATGTCATACTGTGATTTAACAAAATGAAGTGTGTACATGTACACGTATTTTCATTTTACTAACAGCGTGACAACTACCTTGATGGGCCATTTAAAATTTTGTGTGCTGGTTTATATCATTTTATTCGTTGATATTTGATTTCAATGAATACAGTTAATCTTTGCATAAATGCATGAAACTCAGAATTCAGCAATACTACATAAAATTCTGACCAATCGTATGCATGTATTGAATGATTGTTCACTAGTATGCAGTAAACAACAATTACATGTGGTCGAACAAAGCAAGTTATACTTTTATCAAGCTCGATCAAGCAAAGTGACATGTTACTGGAATGATAGTATTCACCAATAGTTTAACAAAGGAATACAGACGCAGATCACCTTGCAGCAGGACTTTGAGAAATCTTGGATTACACGTTCGTTAAAAAACATTGTTTGTACATTGTGAGCATTTACCTATATTCTTCCTTTTCACGCATAAAAACACATACAAAGCAATCCTTTTCGTTGAAAGAAAACAAAATGTCACAAATTATATCTTATTCATATCTTAAAAATAAAATTTAAAGGTTTTGACAAAATTAACTAAACTCGTGGATAATAATTTAGTCCTTTTCCAAATAAAGACAAATTCATAATTTGGAATATATTTTGAGAAAAAGTAAAAATAGAAATTTAATTTAAACGAATATTATTTGAAACACGAGAAAAGTATTGTAATATTTGTTTACGAAACTAAGACACTGAAGGCAAAATTAATAATTCAGCATTATGATGTTTGTAATGAATTCATATTAATATTTTAAATTTTTATTTTCCATACATTTGTATGCTTCTGTTGACTGGTAAAAATCCGGACATGATGGTTTGCATTCTGTCCTATATTGATCCTGAATTCTTGCACCAAGTATGTTGAATTCTGCACAGAATCCTGCAAAAGTTTGGCAAGTGACCATTTAACATATGAATTATAAAATCAATTACATTATGTAACAATCGAATGTAAGATATTTTGTGTTATGCAATTAAAATTATCCAATTTTAAAAAAAAAACCCATAGGTATGATTATACTTATACTTTTCAATTTTCAATTTCATGTTATTTAAGACATTCCAAAAATGCCAAAACTAAGAAACATGCACAAGGTTATGTATATAAACACCATTCCTGTCATGTTACTATCGATGTATTATATTTCCTGAATAAATTATAAGGTCATATTTGGCACCACTGAAAAAAAAAGAAAAATTCATTCTTGGTGTGGAATTTAACAAGAACCAATCACCAGATGTTTCAAAACTGCATAAGTAAGCATACGACCAGTTCATATGATTAGGACAATGAAAATAAGGCTCACAGAATGAAAAAATACTACGTAATATAAGGTGGAAGTTGCAGGCCTATAAATCTGAAATTCTCAAGTTAATGGAAGAGTCAATGCATAATCATAGAAAAGGTTTAAAAATGAATGAAGAAACAATTAGAACACATGCAAACATTTTGAAGGTTTCAAAAGAGGAATCGCTCAAGATTACATAAAATCTTTTATGAGTACAACTGAACTTGAGAACAAATGTGACTCAAAATTGACCAAAACAAATGTTTATCGGATTCAGAAATATGTTTTGAATCTTAAAACCTAGGATTGATTGATTTTAACAACTGTTTTGATGACCAATTCAAATCTTTCAAATCCATTAAACCGAGCCTCCACGCACACTTGAGTTAAATCCCTTGACTTTTATCTTTGGCGATCATTGAAGGTCACAGCTTATAAAGCACTCCCAAAAACAGATGAAGAAGGATATAGAAATAACGAACAGTATTCAATCTCAACGTCCATTAAACAATTGTACAAAATAAGAGCAGAGCGAACACAGACCTCCAAAACATCAGAGGTGGGATCAGGTGCCATGGAGGAATGAGCATTCCCTGCCGACCGGTCACACCCGTCGTGTGCTCGTTTTCATAATCAGGATATGACAGAAAAAATCCGTGGTCAATTCAGTGTATAAATAACGGACTAACAATCGTTATTAAAAACGTCAGTCAGCATTACATTCAATGATAAATTGTATTTGCTGACAAGGTGATTGTATCGACCATAGAATTTACGAAATGATGACTTTAAGAGAGACTGTTGATATTCTTGTTTCATCAACTTGCATGTCAATAATTTACCTCGTTTAAGAAGTTGTTCATACGTAGAGCATGCTCTTGCATATCGAATCAACTGAGATATAAATACTCCGTATGCAGGTGATGAAGGTATATTGCTGCATAAGTAAGGGAAGTTGACGATAGAAAAATTAAAGTCATCACGTTTATCATATACCTTGGTTGTTAGATTACCATTAGTGTCTTTTCAAGTAAAATATCCTAGTATGAAGCAGAAGTGTCGGACTCTGTGGTATCTTTTATCTCAAGCTCACAAGGATATATCGTGTCGACGTAGGAATGGAAATTATCATTATTAATTGACAATACGTCGTCGATATATCTAAATGTCGAGTTGAAAGCCACAGCAAGTGTTTTTTTCTTTTCATGTAAAAGATTTTGCATAAATTCTGCTTCATATGAATATAAAAATAAGTCTGCTAATAACGGAGCGCAATTTGTACCCATGGGAATTCCAATGGATTGTTGGAATACCTGGTCTCCAAAAACCACATAGATATTGTCAATCAAAAAATCAAGCATCTTCTTGATGTCAACTTCAGAGTACTTATGTGTGCAATCAGAATCTGTTTTAACAAAATAATTTTTCAAATGACCAATGACGAGGTAAGTAAACTTACAAGTTCAATTTTTGTTGAAGAAGCAGCTGTCAATAATATCAAAAAGCCTGGATTTTAATTTGTCGTGGGGAATTGTTGTGTATAAAGTTGAAAAGTCGTAAGTTTTAAAATCATAAATGATTCGAAAAATAGGATCTCATTCATTAATAGAGACCCTTTGCACTAGAAATGGGAACTTCCTTGCATCAGATAGATTTATTAATTCAGCACAAATGACGCCTTATCTTAAAGTATTCTACACAACTTTTCATTAAATATAATTATGTACAGGATGTCCCAAACATATGTTACATTTTTAAACCGTTTATAAAATTTTATGCCTTAAGTTACAATAATGAAATTTAAAGTATATAATAAGTATATAATAAAATTGTTATATTTTTTGTGAAGCATACGGTTGCCACAATTTCCTTATAAATCATCAATTTTTTTCTTTAGAATGACATGTCATTTAACAACATGTTCCAAATTACGTCCATTAAATTGAAATAGTTTGAACACAATTCCTGAAGTTTTTATTTTCCAAACTGTAAATACATAACATATATTCTAACATTTAATCTTCAAATACCTTCACTAACATGTAAATTAGAATTCTGTTGAGGACTTTCATAACAAGATGTTGTTTTCTTATGGTACTAATGACTGAAGTAGCAATTTTAGATCGATAATAAATTTTACAATTTCTACCAGCTCTTCACATGAAAGTTCCATATCAAAATATGATGACGTCATTAGGACATAATAATTACTTGATTCTTAAATAGAAAGTTCTCGAAAAATTGTCAGATTAAATGTATGGTAGAAATTAGAAGTTGAAGAAACATCTTTGTATATGCTGATAATTTGATAAAGTTATAGGTGATTAAAAGTGTATGTTTTGGGACACCCTGTATAACCTCACGCTAATAGAAAAGTGAAACTTTTACGCGTACGTGTATATGACGGGAGTATATTTAAATGGTTTATGGTTAAGAAAAGAATTCTGAAAAATTAATCCAGATCAAATTGCATTTTTTTTCTGGACAATTTGTATACAATATACAGATTTGTTTTTAAAAGGGCTACAAAGTACTTATCGTCCTTTCAATCGACCCCATGTCTTAACAACTATTATTATTCTTTTTTTTTTATCTTCGAACAAAATAAAATGGTAAGTTGAGGTTTAAAATTCATCTATCATATTTGTACCATTCATTCTTCTTTCTGGTGCACACACCTCCACGAATGCAGTTCTTTTACCATTCACAACACAATGATATTTGAATTTCTCAGGTTCGGTACAGTTTTGTGTTTTAGCTAAGATATCGCATTTTTTTCTCTTGCTTGCTTCTTTTATCTCTTTTAAGTTTAAGGGACACTTCTTTACGATCCTCATTGTATCTAAAGCTACGGCACAGTGTCGATTGTCAATCGCATTAACCTACAATTTAAAAAAAATTTATTCAATAAGCTGAATACAATAAGATATGAAAAATTTTTTGAACTTTTTCAATGCATGATCGGATAATCTGTTTGCATTTAATATAGAAAAAGGAAGATAAGTGTTAGTGTTCTTTAACGTACTTCAATCCTCAGGTTCTGAAAATCGAGCATTGACTTATTGAAAATGCTCACAGAAATGACTCTGAATTTTCAAATTAACGTGATTTTACTCAGAATAATTCTGTCAACCTCAGCTTTCCAGTTAAACTTATTATTAAATGGAGAAAATTAGTTTATCTCAAGTATATTTTCAAGAATTGCGAAATAAAAACACCTGCTTTGCATTTTCCATTTTAATTTTGATCAAATGACACATTAAACAAATAAAATCCTACACATTCAGACTTTTGAAGAAATTCCAAAATTTTAATTCGCATAATGTACTTCAATTTCTTTTCTTTACATCGTTCATTTACAGTGGAAAGTGTATAATGATTATTCTGTCATTGCAAAGTTCCATAACGTACTTCTCATTTCACCTCATGTTAATTAACATTGGTATCTATGGTTAGATAAAAAAGAACACCATTTTTTTTATATATGTAAGTTAAAATGTCATCCGTCTGGAAGAAACCTTTATGGCTGCACGCCTTGCGACTGGGCGATGGGAAAAGGTCATTGTGATCCCAAAAAAGCGAATTTGAACTCTTGAAGAGAGGACTTCAGCAGAGCATTCACTTCGTCTACAATATCGTTGTAATTAAATGCTTGATTAAAACGTGGCAATAATTTGCACACGTGAATTTGGGAAACTCCGAATCTACTATGGAGAACTGAGACAGTGGATTTCCCGCGATTTTCTCTGGGGAACTGACACCTCGGACATCATAACCCCCAACCAGAAGGATTATCTTATCTGGTTTAACCCGTTCTATAAAAGTCGCATCTTGTCGGAGAATGCCCGATATTGTGCAGCCTTCAACACCTCTAAAAATATTTGGTGTGTCGCTTGGAGGCCGAGGTTATCATTATATCTAGGTTCACTTCTAAGGAATTGATGGAAGCGACGAACAATAGAGTGACCCAAAATAAGTATGTTGTTAGAATCCATGAATAAATACCAAGTAAAATTGATCTTCCCGATTAAAACCGAATAAAATTCGTAGAAAAATTTCCAACGAGTAAATTGTCCGGCGTCCTGAAAGAAAGTGGCGAACCCACGCTATCTCTAAAGAGACGCACCTTCAGTTTCCCGCGACACGATTCTATTGGTTCAGCTTACCATATAAGAAGATGCTATTGAAATTAAGCTCAAGTTTATCGCAAGAGCGATAACTTTAGCATTTGAGAAAGAAATACACTATCAATATACATGAAGTATTTTTAGGAACCTTAAAAATTTTTTACGGGGTAAAAATTTCGACTTTTAATTAGAACTTACTGAGAACTTCAAAGAACCTTGAAGCATATTGAGAGGTATATAATGAAAATTGTTGCATGAAAAGAATTTTCAAGCTTCATTTTGATACTCTTTGAATTAAATTATAAATAAGAGAGCTGTCCTTCCTGGCTGAGGATCGAAGTCCCTTCAGAATTATTTTGTTCATTTTACACTGCTATACACAAAAACCCCAATTGTTTTTCGAAAGGGATTCTATAAAGGATTGACATTTAAACAATTTATATGCTGAACATTTTCTATCCAAATGAGCCTAAGATGTTTAATTTCTTTCCCTGTTTTTGATCAGTTCTTTCAATTATTTGTTCTGTATTCTATTATCATAATATCGAATAGCAAGTTTAAAAAAAAATAAAAATGCATTCATAGTTAATGTTAAAAGAACACCTCCCATCGGAGCCAACTGACACGTTGGGAAGAGTGATATTTGAATATTCGAATGTTATGATGAAATATTCTTACCTCTTTGAACAGAAAAATCTTACATATGTTGATACAGACAAACATCATAAATAAATCTTTCATTTCCACCATGATTGGTGCATCTAAAAATCAAAAGAGAGAAAAAATACTCTTCTAATTCAAATTAATGACATTAATTTGGTTTGCAAGTTAAAAAACGTTGCATGCATTCAATATATATTATACATTCATAATCAAAATAGCAATTTTATTTTTTTAAATTTAATTTTGGTTGTTATGTCTTTGATTAAAAATTAATCTACATTGTATAACCTAGATTGTCTATGACTTGTGTTGTTTCAATCCGATTCACGTTACGCTTAAAATATGATCAATTTGAGGGCGCTTTAATGGAGAAAGTCTTTTTCAATACTTAATGATTGAAAATTAAATTACAATGAATGAATTAAATAACAATCCAAGTTATACTGTTATAACCTGGGTTGGAGCAGATTTCGCCTTTATATAAACTGCCTCAACTCAAGTTATACAGTATAACTTGGATTGCTATTTCATAATTCCTAAATAAAATTATTATTTTTTATTTGGAGATTGAAAGACGTCAAAATGCCAGGAAGAGGGTAAATATTGAGGTAGAGATAAAAAGAGAAATGCAAATATCTTGCTCTTAAGTGGATTTTTATAAACTGAAATTCAAATATAAGGTCTTTTCCATGTTGGTTTGAATTTACTATGTTCAAATCATTGCTGAGTGCGATATGCTTATGCATATAGATGAAATTTATGAAGGTTATTATAAAGAGAACACATATTTATATATTCTGTTTGAACGCATATTTTATATACTGTTTGAACAGAAAAATCTTATATATCTTGATACAGACAAACATCATAAATTTTAACTCTTTTAATTCCACCATTATCGTTGCATCTAAAAATCAATAATCAAAAAGTATATATGAAGGTATTTTAGGAGGCCAGCTACATGTATATTCAATATACTTACCAGAGTAATCATTTTCAGCACCATTCTATATGGTTATTCAATCCATTTTTCCAAAGCCTATGCAGAAACTTTTAAGGATCAAAATTACAATTCATTGTAAGTTATGTTGAAAAATAATAATGTTTTCAAATTATTACATTAATTTTAGATTCTAGATCATTTGCATCTTATATTTTACAAAGAGCATTTTACATGGCGTGTTTATTCCGCACATAATATTCATATTAAGGATTTAACTCACGAGGGGCGTTCAATAAATAATGTCATTGGGGCTAGGAAAGAAACAAAAAACGCCTTTCTATGACTTAGCCTCTATGATTTAACTAAAATATTCTCTTTCAATTAAAACGCATATCCATGACATTTTCATTCAATTCTTATTGTTTTTCGAACACATTTTTGAGTATGATCCTTCGTATACTGGAATATAGCAGATCCTATAATTTGCTGTACTTCTTTCTTTCTGATAGATGTTTTTTCTAAGTTTAGGAAATAAATCAGTCAAAGGTTGAAAGATCTGGCAAATTTTGTTGGTAAGACAAAACATTTACTTTCTGTTTATCCCCAAACCCCATTTACTCTTCATGATCTGTGGGTTTGGCCTTCGTCATGAACACATTTAATGTAGTTTATTCCTCATTCTGTTTCCTTTCTCTCATAAAACTTTTATTTTTTTTGCAAAATAAATGTTCTCTAAACTCCTCCAGATATTTGAGCTTCCTCCTCGATTATGAATTTGAAGAACAAGACCGCTAATATTTCAGAAATAGCATATAAAACTGTTTTATACTCCTGCAATTCTTTGCAATTCTTAGGCCTTTGCAGTTTGATCAAGTGCATTGACTGTAAAATTGTTTTGGGGAATGAAAGCAAAATGGATTGAAGTTTAATTATCTGTTAGAATTTCACACAAACCTAGATAAGTACATTTTTGATTTTTTTAAAAGAATTGTTTGGATATTCCTACACGCCGTCGTTTTACTAATTTTTCAATATATAGGTTTCCCTTTGAGTATTAAACTTTTTTTACTGTAAAATGTTTATTTAAAACAGTATGAACTATCTCCAAAATGATGTTTATCAATTTTACAATGTGTCTTAAAGTCAATAAAACATAATCAGTGATAATTTCATGAAATTTCGCAAATTTACATCTGCTGTTGTAAGTCATTGTTGCCAAGGATTGTATCCATTTTTGATGCCCATTCTATAATTTTTGCATATTGAAAACTTCATGTTCACCTGTCTATATAACAGGCATTTGTTGCTTTAACTTTTACATATTTCAGGTTATATATTTTTTCGAATATTAACAAGTCTTACAGCTGCTTTAATGAAGCGTTTAATTTTACTCTATTTTACTGATTCTTGACAATTAATTTTTAATGCAGTGTCTCGAATAGTCCTGAAATAATGCGATGAAAAGTGGTCACACAAACTGTTATCAATTCATTAAAGATTCTCTAATAACAGAAATTCAAGCGTTATGTCATACGACTACTATGTTGTATGCCATCGAACTAATGGCATTATTTATTGAACGTTTCTCGTATATGACCTGAAACTAAGATTCATCTGAAGGATTTAAAAGTATTACGGAATTGTTCTCATATGTCGTAGATGAACATTCGAATATTGAATATCGTGTATATATATTTTAATGTTAATGAAAAACAAAGGTACCAACTATTTCAAACAGGTTACACATTCCTGCAATCGTATGACTAAACAGATAATGTTTCCACTATTATGAAAATGTTTCAAAAGTGAACAGAAATGCATGTTTACATTAACCAGGACTGGGGCGTTTTCAAACCGAAAGTAAGTATTTCAAATCTTTGATTCAATTTAAATAAAACTTTTTAAAGACAAACAAATTCTTAGTTTTCATATAACTTATGGTTATATAAAGCATATGTTTCAATGCATACAGACCTATATTTGAGTTTACATTCTTCAGCCATGAAACCGAATTTAGCACTTCAAAGCATGCGCAAAGGCATATCGTACTAAAACAAACTGGTCTACGATATATTTTCAACTCGGTGAACATTTAAAAATTATCGACTGTGGATCTGTATGGAGAGCATAACGTGCTAAAATCAATGCATATTTTAAATTTTAAACTCTGGTTTGGTATTTTGCAAATAATTGAGTCATAAAAAAAATAAAAACAGTTACCGTGTTTTTATTCATAGTTATATTTTAACAAGCTGCAATAATAAAGAAACAAGCGTTAAACTAGTTCCGGAATGCTGTCAAACATTGCTATAAAGGCTTTCCAAACGAATAAATGCCAAAGTATAAATGAAAACCAACAATCCGGGAAGAGATCAAGATGTAAGAATTTCAGAGAATGGGGGGGGGGGTCTGGGCTGTCAGGAGATCCCCGTGATGATGAAGCCTACTAAAGCTCAAATTAAATCTTCTAGGAAGACATAAGATTTACTGAGTAGTGCTATTTATCTCTCTCTCTCTTTCTCTCTCTCTCTCTCTCTCTCTCTCTCTCTCTCTCTCTCTCTCTCTCTCTCTCTCTCTCTATATATATATATATATATATATATATATATAGGAAATACATGTAATTACTGAACTTTTCAATACTTTTCACACATATTTACTGACTGCGTTTTCGTGGAATAATTTAAAATTTGAATCATTAGATAAGAATAGATGCACGGTATAATCAATGTTCATATCAGTGAGCATACCATATCTGAATAAATACTATTTGAAATAAACTTTGAATTATTTATGTCTTTATTTTGAAATTGTATTATTTGTAAATATTAATTTAAAATATAATGATACTCTGCAATTTTACTGGAATGTGTTTTCTATATCACAACATACTTTAACTAACTTTCAATTATATTAAAAAATTATATATATATATATATATATATATATATATATATATATATATATATATATATATATATATATATATATATATATATATATATATATATATATATATATATATATATATATATATATATATATATATATATATATATATATATATGTAAAATCCAATAAATAGTCTCAGTGGTCGGAATTAAATACTTAAAATAAAAAAGAAAAACACGAAAAACTCCAGTAAAGCTTTAGGCCTTTCATTCTATCTTCAGAAGCTTTACAAAATAAACAACTGTAGTAACATAGTAACGTTACACAATAATTGGCGGAGTATATGACGTCGTTATTATGAAGTCAAATGTACTATGACGTCATAGTTAACAGCTCTTTGCGCACAGGTAAAAGTACGGGAAATTTTCAAGTTCTTAATAAAATGCAGATATACATATGCATACATAATTAAATCTAATTGATATACATTACATCAGATTGTTAAGCTTTGGTTTTAACGCACAAATAAAATGTTTTTCTTTCTGACGTCTACTTATATCGTTTCCTCCTTTTACTTTATAAAACGGAAATATCGTAAATTTCTTTTGTCCGCACACGTCTAAATGTTCACTTAATGGTATTTGTCTATACTCCGGAGTGTTAATCTGTTGCTTGTGGGTACGAACCCGGGTACGGAGGGTGTTACTGGTCTCACCTATATAATACTCACTACATCCTGGACAGGTTATCACATATAAAACATTTTGTGTATCACATGACATATTGGCGTTCACTGTAAATTGTCTGCCGTTGAAGTTATAATAAGATCCTTCAGTAAGAAAATCACAAGTTCCGCACCGAGGATTTCCACATTTTTTCACTGAATAGGTTCCTTCAAAATTGGAGTTACACAGGAGTCTTTTCAGGTTCTTCGGTTGGCGTCTACTTGAGATAAATTTTACGTCCTTATAAATTGTCTTTGTAGTTTCGTCCTCTCTAAGAATTGTGTTCAGTTGGTGAACAATGGTGTTGATGTTCTGGTTCCGGGGATTATGCGTGTGCACGAAAGGAATAATATTCTCGTTAACATCACGTCCTTTGGCTAAAAGTAATTCTGATCTTTCATGTTCCTTTGCTTTAAGTATTCCATCATCTATAAGCTGGACTGGATATTTTTGTTTAAAAAGATACGTTTTAAGTTCATGTAAACGAATGTCCCTTGTATCCTTTTCACTGACAATGGCGCATATACGTCTGGCAAGGTTATAAGGAATGGCTGTTTTGGTATGATGCGGATGACAGGAACCAAAATGTAAGTATTGGTGTGTATCCGTCACTTTGTAAAATATGTCAGTAACAATCTTTGTGTCCTTCTTAACAACGAGAACATCCAGGAATGGTAGTTCATTTTCACTGGTATCTATCGTAAATTTGATGTTGGCATTCAACTCATTTAATATTTTATGAAAAACGTCTAATTTTTCGACACCCTCATCCCATAAAATAAAACAGTCATCTAGAAATCTTTTCCATTTAGATTTAAGGTTATTTGCTATATCTTCTCCCCACAATGTTATGAGTCGTTGGTGAAGTTTGAATTCTAAGTAACCTAGGGTAAGTGTTGCGTACGTCGGTGCAACTTTGGTTCCCATGGCAGTTCCTTTAGTTTGTAAAAAATGGTTATCATTAAAGGCAAACGTATTATTTTGAAGGACTAATTTTAATCCTTGAAGGACAAATTCTTGTGGAAAGCGATCATGAAGAAGGTAAGGATGTTTTTCTATCCAGAATTTTATCGCTTCTATTCCGAGTTCCGTTGGAATGTTAGTATACAAACTAACAACATCAAACGTAACTAATTTAGTATTATCCTTAACGACGTCTGGTAAATGATTCAGGAAGTCAAGATCATCTCTAATGAAACTTGGTACCTTTTCACAGAATGGTTTCAGCAATATATCTAATAAATGGCTCAATCTTTGGGTAGACGAGTTAGGGCCTCCAACAATAGGTCGGAAAGATAAATCCTGTGGGTTAAGGCAGGTAATATATTCAGAATTCTGAGATTCTATGGCATTCTTAATTTCCGTTGATTTATGAACTTTAGGTAAGCCATAAAACTGACTTTCGCGGGCTTCAAAATTTATAAGATAGTCTCTTTCCTTGTCTGTTAATTCCTCAGAAAAAGGTTCATGGACAAGACTTTTTATTTTTGACATCGATTTCTTTTCATGCGTTTTGTTAATCTTTTGGTAAAATTCGGTGTCTTGTAACATGGTCAGAATTTTATTTTCGTAAAAGTCTTTGTCCATGATGACAACTCCTCCTCCTTTGTCTGCCTCTTTAATGACTATATTTTTGTCGCTACACAAGCCTTTTAGTGCAATTTGTTCATCCTTAGAAAGATTTGATTTATAATTAGGTATGTTGGTGTCTGGAAGGTTGATGTTTTCAAGCGTCTCGCAAACAGTATCTAAAGTACGATTTCTTCCTCGTTTTGGAATAAAATCTGACTTGTTTCTTACAAGATCCTCGGGCTGTGTATGTTCAGTTTCTTCATTAAAATCATTCTCGTCCTCATCCTCGTGGAAAAACTCCCTTAGTCTTAAACGTCGTGTATACGATTTAATATCTGTTTTTATGAGATTTAGACAACAAAATATCTACAGGGATGAGGACACTACTTACATCGGAAGGGGTGCAAGAAACCATTTTTTAGGCGGAGGCAACCCCAATCAAGGCGAAAAATACAAACCTCGTGCCCAATAGGAAAAAACAACTCCATTAATATAGGTACAGATAGCTCTTCCCCAAACACGTCAACGGATCCTAAAGTATTTAATTTATCATCCAGGACCCTTACAGATTCGGAAATAAAATTACTTTCTAAAGGTTTGAAGTATACTCCTACACCAAGAAGGAACCACCAGGAACTAAAAACAGATATTAAATCGTATACACGACGTTTAAGACTAAGGGAGTTTTTGAACAACATGAACAACCATTCCTGGATGTTCTCGTTGTTAAGAAGGACACAAAGATTGTTACTGACATATTTTACAAAGTGACGGATACACACCAATACTTACATTTTGGTTCCTGTCATCCGCATCATACCAAAACAGCCATTCCTTATAACCTTGCCAGACGTATATGCGCCATTGTCAGTGAAAAGGATACAAGGGACATTCGTTTACATGAACTTAAAACGTATCTTTTTAAACAAAAATATCCAGTCCAGCTTATAGATGATGGAATACTTAAAGCAAAGGAACATGAAAGATCAGAATTACTTTTAGCCAAAGGACGTGATGTTAACGAGAATATTATTCCCTTCGTGCACACGCATAATCCCCGGAACCAGAACATCAACACCATTGTTCACCAACTGAACACAATTCTTAGAGAGGACGAAACTACAAAGACAATTTATAAGGACGTAAAATTTATCTCAAGTAGACGCCAACCGAAGAACCTGAAAAGACTCCTGTGTAACTCCAATTTTGAAGGAACCTATTCAGTGAAAAAATGTGGAAATCCTCGGTGCGGAACTTGTGATTTTCTTACTGAAGGATCTTATTATAACTTCAACGGCAGACAATTTACAGTGAACGCCAATATGTCATGTGATACACAAAATGTTTTATATGTGATAACCTGTCCAGGATGTAGTGAGTATTATATAGGTGAGACCAGTAACACCCTCCGTACCCGGGTTCGTACCCACAAGCAACAGATTAACACTCCGGAGTATAGACAAATACCATTAAGTGAACATTTAGACGTGTGCGGACAAAAGAAATTTACGATATTTCCGTTTTATAAAGTAAAAGGAGGAAACGATATAAGTAGACGTCAGAAAGAAAAACATTTTATTTGTGCGTTAAAACCAAAGCTTAACAATCTGATGTAATGTATATCAATTAGATTTAATTATGTATGCATATGTATATCTGCATTTTATTAAGAACTTGAAAATTTCCCGTACTTTTACCTGTGCGCAAAGAGCTGTTAACTATGACGTCATAGTACATTTGACTTCATAATAACGACGTCATATACTCCGCCAATTATTGTGTAACGTTACTATGTTACTACAGTTGTTTATTTTGTAAAGCTTCTGAAGATAGAATGAAAGGCCTAAAGCTTTACTGGAGTTTTTCGTGTTTTTCTTTT